TTGAAAACGACCTAACTCTGAAAGATAGAAATTTCAGGGGACGATAAAAACTGCGTAACAGCCAGAAAAGAGTTTTTCTACGCAAAAAATGAGCACCTCGATAGACCCGAGTTGGATCGTTTTCGAACTGAGAAATTCAATTTCAAAGACTTTTTCACTTTTCATGCTAAACAGGAGATGGGCTTTCCAGAGGAGCCTTGCAACTTGCATGTGCATATTATTTATACCGTTTTATTCAGATACGTTTAAATATACTCTAATTCAGGTAACTTGCTAATAGCTCCAACGTTTATGAGACCTGTGCCTCAACAAAGGCAATATGTGTAACTAAGACCGGCTATATGAAAAGGGACCTTATCTATTCGGAGAAAATTTTTCTTCACTTTTTGCAAATACATGTGGAAGAAAATATGGAAATTTTGGCACAAGTTTGATCCTAAAATCTCAAGGATTGAAGTAGATAATAGTTCTAAAGCACCAGACAAATATTTTTAGATTATAGGTTTTTGAAAAAATTTAAGGAAAATTTTCTCCCGAAATATAAGGTCCCTTTTAATAAATTCGGCCTCAAATAAATTAAAATGAAATTCAAGATTAAAGGAACACGAAAAAATTGGAGATTATTATGCATTGAATTGTATTAAATGCCTTTTTCCATTGAATGAGCGCACAACAACTGCTCATGGTACATATTTGCACTTGTTCGAAGTGAAAACAGTGTCCTCAATTGGGTTAAGTTAGGTTAAGCAACTAAACAAACTCTGCGGCAATGCGCATAGTATCACCCAACATTGAAGGCGCCCCAGACCGGTATCTGATCTTGAAGTATTTTACATGCGAAACCTACATGATTACCTGCATGATACCTACATGATACCTACATGAATTATTGTGAACTGCCGGCGATATGAAAATTTCCTGTAACATCTAGATACCTATCGCCATTGAAAAAATATATTTCAGAGAAGTGTTGACCTCCGAATTTAACTTTTTCCTTACCAGAATGCATTGTTTAGACAGGGTGTTCCAAGGTTATACGGCTAGGCTACAGAATCGTTATCTTATCGTTTCTAAAATAAAAAAAGGATCCTATGTCCGATGTAGGTGACCCATTGCCAGAAAACTAGCAGGAAACTTAGCCTCAGCCCATATTTTAATTCATTTCACAGGTACATGGTCGACACTGAAAAAGAACTCCGGCTGAGGAATCCGAACTTACGGCCTTATAGAAATACCTTTCGCATCCCAGGCACAGAGGCCGAAAGTTCCGGGTGTAGTATCCAGAACAGTCGAAGCTACGGCTCCAGCACCCGAAACTATCGGTCTCTGAGCCTGGTACGGATGGTACGTCTATACAGCCCGTACCCTTTTTCAGGGGAAGGAAAAAGCCCCAAAAGCTCGGGTCTCTGGAGCTCGAAATAAGATTGACTTTTCCACGAAATCGAATGAAAAACCAGAGGCACAAAAGAATCTGCAATTCCATCAAAGGACCCCGTCGCGAAACGAAACGACGGACGAAAACTTCAAGTTTTTCTTTGTCGCCCAGGAGCGGGGTGGGGNGGGGGGGGGGGGGGGGGGGCGAATTTCAATAATCAAAAATGATAATCAAGCGCGACTTTTTTGCCCGGCACGTATGACAATCGCAAAGTTGGCCGGGAAAGTTTCGGTATCCCATTCGGGGAGCGAATAATTAGGCGCTAGCTAGGAGCGGATTTTAAAAGGGAAGCCGGCGGGAGACAATGGCTGGAGACGAGCCCTGATTTGTATTACAATCATTTCGTTTTGATTGCTTCGCCGCCGGGCTGGCTCCTCGATTCCACTTAATTGTTTTTCGCGCGTTACTTCTCTCGCTCCCGGGATAAGTTTCCCGACAATCATTAGCCTTGGCTTCAAGGACTCAACCTCTTATCGCCGCCCCTTTGACCTAACAACGTATCTCAGTTTCTTCTTGAGCCCTACTTCACAAAAGAATCCATGCTTCCTGGGGCTCATGCCGAAATCGAAATACGCCTTAAGTGGAGTGACGTTATTTCACTCCGAAAAGGGGAAAATATCCGAGCCTTGACAAACATCTTTTGACAAGAAGTAATCATCATAATCTAAGGAAGGACACACGGTTAAGTGCATTCAATGAACTACTAGAAAAGGTACACAATTATGCATTTTAGTATATGTTCCTTTGTCAAAATTTGACCTACAATACGATAAAGCACTAAAACTTTCCAAATCAAACTTAAGAGTAAGAAAATAAGGTCCCTCCTCCCCTGGACGGAGCGACTATTTGAGTTCAGAGCGCAAGATGGAGTCAAGTCGGACTTCCGTCAGTCAATTCAATCGCGGTCTCTTTGTTTTAATACATTCTTACAAAAACTGCGGGAGAAAGTCATACATACGATGGTTTTTGGAAGGTGATAATTTTATTGCTTTAAACATTTTGAGCGAAATTCATTACTTTCAGAGTGTTACAACAGCTGCTCGAGCGAAGCAACAAACTTTAGCACGAGTACAACTAGAATCCACCGATTAAGGGAAAACGACGAAACAGGATGACAAGTTTGCTCAGATCTAAAAAATCCTCGCCGTTGCTATGACTTTAGGGTTTCAGAACTTAAAACTTCCTAGCATTTCCATGACTTCTCAAGGTTTATTTTTCCGGGGGGGGGGGGGATTAATTCTCATAAAAATCCTCTTGAAAAAAAAATATCCAACCCGAAGTCTCTAATAATTGAAAAAATCCCACAATTCGAGAACTTCAAGGCAGAAGTCCTAATTTTCGTCGATAGAGCGTATGTGTGTGGAAGCAGTAGAAAATTACCGGATGTTTCAGCCGGAAGAAATAATTTTAAGGTCCGCAGCGAAATTTCCTGAATTTTCCTGACTTCCCAAGGTTGGGCACAATCCCCCGACTTTCCCGGGTTCGCAACTACTGCAACGCCTTTCCAAAAACTTGTCACCCTGCGAAGGAAAAGCGCTGCGACTTGGAGGGAAAACCCCACGAGGTTCAACTAAAAATATTTTGACGGAGGATGTAAGAGTAAATAAAAATTTGACGCGGAAAAGCTTGTCAGGAGTCTCGTTACCTGGAGGGCAATATCACGCTGCTCAGGAGTGAAATTTCTCGGGGAATTTCTACCCGGGGTGGGAGGGGGTGCGGAGACAATTGCCGGAGTGAAGGAAATGAAAGGGAAGCAATTATCCGGACTTGTCATGAAAGTAATCGCGGCGATGCGCAGGAGAACGGGGGTCACCTGGAAGCGGGAAGGGGTGAGTCCTGGGGGGAGGGGGAGGAATTCAGGGATCCAGGGAAGATATTGAGGGCGACGAGGCGATGGCCGGAGTGGTCATTACGCTGGCAGATTTGATAAGATCGGCCCATCGGGTGAAATTTGTTTTGCACTTGAGGAACCCAAGCCGGGGACCGGGCGTTAATCGAATTTGACGCCGAGAAATTCCGCGTCACACCGCTTCGTTTACCCGTTTTTATTTTTTCCTCTCCTCCGCGCTCCGCTCCGCTGACATTAGCAATTTCTTGATTGAGATTCGGAGAGGGAGTCTTAAGGTGCCACGCAAGGAAGCCTACCGGAGGTCGCGCTAACGTCCGGGCGTATACACCTCCGCGTGTATACAGGGTGTCTAACACCGCCTGTGTCACCTGGGTGTCTACCAGAAAAAGTTGGCCAAAACTCAGTACTTATCCAGTACTTTTTCAGTACATTCCCAAGAAATTCAGTACCCCCTCAACCGAAATATTCAGCACTTTTTCAGCACGTCAATTTGACGAAATTCGAAAAATTTCAAAAATTTGAATATCTCGCTACAACCATGACAAAAATGCCGAAAAAATGAAAAAAATTCCGGACCTTCTGGCGGAATGTCCGCACTTTCAATACTTTCAGACCGCCGTTAAAAAGTCAGTGCTATTTTCGGACTTTCCAGAAATTCTGAACTTGTAGGCACACCGGGGTGGCATCAAAGATCGGAAATTTCATAGTGAAATAATTCAGTATGTTGGAATCTTTTAGCCAACGTGCATTAAAAATTCAGCATGAAGCTGATATCTCAATACAGAGGGAAAAAGCTCACGCTTTTCGCCAGCTAATCCGCTAAAATTCTCGCCGCCACCGCTTCCTATCGCCCGCAAAGAGATACGCCGTTTGGTGCAACAGTCGTAAGGACCATTCAGGAAGGTAACTGCAAACGCGTTTCGGCCTTGCCGGTGACATGCGGCAAATATTTCATGATACTTCACGAGGCTGTGAAATATTTCATATTTTTCGGGTGCTAGAGAATGTAACTCGCACTCAAACATACAAAAATACAAGTAAATCACAATTTTTACATTTAGCGAAACATGAAAAAAAAACCGGTATTTTTCAATACCTTTCATAATTTTTTGAAATTTCATGAAATATTTCACGTGAAATTTCAAGATTTTATTTATCATGAAAATCACTGCTGTGCTAAGGAAGAACGCCGTACGAACATTCGAGAGTTGCCAAATTTTCTTCGATAAAATGTTTATTTTTGAGGAAAGTTACGAGTATTTTTCCTTGAAATTAACAGGAACTTTAGATGAAATTGCGAATAAAATTGCCTGAAAATTTTGAATAAAAAAATTCATCATTTCCTCAGTAAATTTGGTTTTTATCGCAGGGAATCTGGCAACGTCTAAAGGCTCTTACGGCTTTTTGCCTTGGCACGGCAGAATGACTTATGTGACTCAGTGCCAGTCTGCTTATTGCGGTCCTGTTTTTTTCGTCCCTGTGAATCCTGCTCCTAAAATGAGCGAAAAAAAGCCTGGTATAGATGCTGGAAGACACCCTGTACAGATACAGGGTTGAGAGAATGGTTCTTGGGAGGTTGTCTACTTTATAGTGGACACGGAGGACAGAGACGTGGAAGTTATGATAGCGGGTTGTTTGTTGGTATGCGAGGGATGTGGAAGGTAATCAAGAGGACTGACCGGAACTCGTCCCTGGGGCCCCGGCCACGATACTCACCGACGCTCATGCTCATGTCCTAGTCACAATTTCCAGCCCATGTACATTTTACCTATTCGCCAGCTAATCCGCTTAAATTCTCGCCGCCACCGCTTCCTATCGCCCACCCAACCCAGCCCATTTATTGCTTCGTCCTTTTTCTTAATGCCTCGCCCGGTTGCCTACCCATCCAGGGGCGGCCCGTTTTCCCCGCCTTCCCAGTTTTCCTTTTGTTACTTATTGCGCACCCGCGCATCGTCGGGTCTCTTCCGCATCTTTCCTCTCGCCATCACCTTTGCTCTTCGTCTCACTTTTTTCTCTCTTTCGTCGTATCTTTATGTCTCTCATCGATTTTTATGACTTTTCGCCTCTCGCCTCTCGGCCAGCGGTCAAGAGCCCCTCTCGAAGGGTGGATTTGGGCTGCGTTTGGCAATTCGGAACAAATATTTCTTACTCACCTTACAAACAGCAAATGTGTCATTATTTCCTGAATGTAGATATGTGCTTGTTCGGATGACTTAGAAACAGTGGTTCCTTTTTGCAAAATGTGGTCCATTTGAATCTACCGTACGATGCATTGAACGTATTTCTGCCAGACAGAACTATGTGCATTATTACGTGAGGCCTGTGGTGCATATATTCTTATGGACCTCAGGGTTCATGTCTTGGTGCACATAGCTCTGTTTGGCAGAAATACGTCCTATTGAAAAGAGACGACCCATCATTTTCCGGAACAAGGAAAAAAACTAAAAACAAGATTGCAAACTTGACTTAAATGATACAATTTTTCACGAGAATATGACTGTGTTGTTAGTGTCTAAAACTGAGCTGCGTGAGTTTTACTTGAATTTAGTAAAACCATTTATGACATTTTCAGTTAAAAACATCTGTTAGTATGCTTGTAAAAATACAATTTGCGATTGGAAACTTTGCAGCGTCAAAATGTAGTTACGCTCTAACAGCTGTGAGCTGATTATTGAAATTGATAGACAAAGCGAAAGGCAAAGAAATCAAAGAGAAAATTGAGCTATCCGGGTGGTCAGTGGAATCAGGTAGTTGCACTAGATGAAAAGGATGAGTACCTTACAGACTAACTAACAGCAACCCCCATGACCCCCCCCCCACGATTTTTGACAATCGCCCGTTTCAACCAATGAGATTGCTCTATTTTCCCTCTGTTTTCTTTCTCTATAGCTTTGCCCTTTAATTTCGATAATGAGCCCACTGGCGGGCAACATTTTGAGGCGCAAGGCACGCGGCACGTGATAGACGTCACTCTACGTCTCGGGGCTATTTGGGGTAAAAGGGGAGAAGGGGGTGAAAGGGGGTATCGAGTGCCGGGGGGAGTTTTTCATTGCCGTCGCGACATTTGATCATTCGAATTGAAATTGGCCTGGCGTAGAAAAACCGTGAAGCGGGGCGATCCATTACTCACGGAGTGAACCGCGGGTGAAAAGATGAAACGTTTCATTAGCGGATCGGCGATTGTCAACAATGTCAACCTGCCGCCGCCGCGCCGCGGGGCCTAGTCGAGCGCGGGATCGCGGAAACGCCGCACAATGGATCTGGTTAATCGGGAAGGTCGAACAAAACCTGGAAACTTTAAACGCTCATATCTCCGTTTATACACAACTTCGAGATTCTAAAAGTGGCTCCATTGGTTTTCTCGTGAAATTTTCTTCAAGAAGCACCCCTTATAGTATGATATGTGACGAAATAAACAGAAAAATTCGCAGTTTTTGTCCAAGATTTAAAGTCCGACCTCTTCAATTGACTCGAGCCACCGTGCGCCGAACGGATATTGATGATTAGGCGCGGCGCAAGAGAGCGCGGATCCAAAAACGCCTTCAGTGCCTCCGACCCGCAACCCGCAACCACCCACTTACTCGTCACCATAATCTGATAATAAGTCGAAAATATCGCCGGGTCTCGTGCGTAAACTGCCGGGAAAACTCCCGCGGTCAGTGTTGCCGCTCTGGTGAAACAAATCAGCATATTATTCATGGAAAAACCAGCGGGCTGATTATTGAAATTGATAGATAAAGGGATAGACAATGAAGACAGAAAAACGATTCTATTGGTGGAAGTGGGTGGATGCAATGGGCAAATGAATAGATTATAACTAACGGTATCCCACGAGAGACCCTGTCGTATGATGTGTCCATCATTTGACCCCTTAGTCGATAACGACCACCAGTTTCAACCAATAGGATGGCTCAATGTCACAGGAACACGAAGTTCCAGAGACAGGGCGCAGGACCTCCTTTCAGCTCCCAAGGGAGCTTCGAGATGATGACATTCAGATCCCTCAGAGTCGGTTTCCGGATAGTCCCCGTGATCCTTGACTTCGTCCAAATCAAAATAACCAAGAAAAAAGCCTGCGAGCTGTTATTGAAATTAATATACAAAGCTATAGACAAAGAAGACAAGAGGGATATGAGGAATCCTATTGGTGGAAGCGGGCGGTTGAAATGGACAAAGGAGGCAAATATAGACTAACTAAAAACAACTCACAAGAGATCCTTTAGTTAGTTCATCCTTTTTATCCATAGTCTGTGACAACCACACGTTTCAACCAATAAAGCCACTTCATTTTCCATTTTTCGCCTTTATCTATCGCTTTGTCTATCAATTTCAATAATCAGCTCGCCTTCAAGTTTTAGGCTTGTTTAAGTATACTTGTTTCCTGCCGATGGATCTATATATTTTCAAAATTACCTGTAAAGACGTTAATAGCCTGAGTCGCTGAATGTCTCAAAATTATAATAACTAACTAACTAACTCAACCCCATGGAGTTCGTGTATGCATAGGAGATTTCTGATTCCTTTATTGGATTGCATTTAGCAAAACGGAATCAGCGCAATTACATTGTTGTAAAAATTTTGCTTCCTCATAATTATCTGAAAAAACCTCCCAGAGTAGCAAATATTTGTTGCTTCCCACCGCAAAATTGTTAATTTTAAAGGAAAATAATTTAATACTATACATATTTTCGTTTTTATATATATTCTATTTTTAAAAGAAAAGAAGAAGTTGCACGATTTTGAAAGCACTGCAATCGCGGTGGTTCCTTCTTGCTAAATGCGATCTTTTTGGAAGTCGCACGCTTGACTTCGCTTCTGAAAGGTAAGGTTGCTGGTGCGCCTTCAATATTTCGTGTATGCAACCCGGACAGTCGTCGAGCACGAATAGTTGCATCGAGAAATCCATAGCAATTGAGCAAGGCGCCACGCCGCAGTTCGCACGTACACAGTAACAACAGCAGAAAGGAAGTCAAAGCGACTTCGGTCGGTCGAGAACACCGTGTGCGTCGAAATAAAACTCGCTTCAAGTGGCAACAGTTTGCGGGAAGTTGGCTGTTGAGATTGTCAAGCTGGAGGTGGTGGATTTTTTTGCCGGCCGAACACAAACCGGGCTGTCAAAGCTGCCACGAACCCGTCGCGCGCCGCGACGCCCCGACATTCGACGCTCGACGCTCGCCCGCACCCGGGCTCGCCCTTGGCGTCGCGACGCCGCCGCCCGCCGTCGGAAGGATCTCAATGAGGATTCAAGAGTCAAAGATTTCTCATTCACTTCCTACACGGGGTGTGCCAGGCGGGGAGTTTTCCGTTCATTGAAACTACCCCTCCCCCCTCCCATCCCTGAACAACGGCGTCATTTTCACGCCCGCGGTTCACCTCAAAAAGCTCGTATTAATTACTGCCCCCTCCCCCCTCTCTCAATCCAAGCTCGCTTGAGTGACAGTTCCTCGATCATATTTAGTTTTTAGGTCATATTCTAATTGAGGGGCTCGGAGGACAAGGCGCATAAGTGCAGTTTCTGCTATTTCGAGAAACGCGTGTTTGAAGTTTCAAAATTACATGGATCCTTATGGCGGAAAGAAGGTTCAAACTGACTTTTCGATGCTTAAAAATTGGAATTTCGGAGTGACTTTATCACAGAATATATTTCATGACTAGTTTAACTAGCAATTGTTAATGTCTAAATTTCAAAAAATGTACTTATGCGTCCTCTCCCCCGTGCCCCTTCATAATATCATTTCGAACAGCGAATCCCTGGTTCGACTCCATTGGATTAGAGTGGCTTGGAGGACAAGGCGCATAAGTGTAGTTTTCACTATTTCAAAATATACATGCTTAAAGCTTCAGAATTGCATTGAGCCTTGTTGTGGGAAGAAAGTTCAAAGTAATCCTCTGTAATTAAAACATGATAAAAGACAATTAAAAAAAAAAAAAAATTGAATGACGCTTCAAACTTGAATTTTACGCGTGAATTTTTCACAGAAAATATTTCAAGACTAGTTTTAGCGTAAATCACTATATACATTTTTCCAAAAACTGCACTATCGCGCGTTGTCCTCAAAGCCCTTCTTTTATAATTATTTATGTATTCTTTATGGAGAGAGAACGCGAAAACCAAAAGTTTGAAAGCAGTTTTCTCAAACGGTGTTTTCGACGCAATGGCTTGCCTGAAGCTAACTCCTGAATAAGGACCTTGGACCCACTGGAGTGATTCCATCACGTTTCGAAGTAATGTAATTTCGCTGGAAAAACACGCCAAATCATCCACACACTGAAAAAAAAAGATTGGTAGAATTTACCATTTCTTCACGCTGTATTTCACACAGCGTCAATTCAGAGCCAATTCTGCCAGAAGAAAGGTAAACGTTACTAAACACTGGTACAGGTAACCATCCTCTGGCAGAATCGACTTGAAGATAGGTAGAATTTACCATTCCTTCACGCTGTGTGAAAGACAGGGTGAAGGAATGGTAAATTCTACCAATCTTTTTTTTTTCAGTGCGTGACGGAGAGCGAGAGAGGGAAACCGAAAAAAAACCGCGGATGATTTCGACGGCGAAGAGGCTCTTGAAGGATATCACGAGCAAATTTCAAATTAACGTCAAACATAAAAAATCACGCGCGAAGGCGGGGCGCGGGCAGGGTCCGAGATGGGGTAGAAATTACCATGGCACAATAGAGCGGCCGACAAGGTGTTATTGCAGGGCAGCCAGGGCCAGTATTGAAAACTCACTG